ATGTCCCCTCCCTACAACTGTGACTCGTTTGTCTGTTCTTGTGAACCAATCTGTATTTTCTGTGTAGATTATTTAACGTTGCTTAGGAACTTGCCACAAGCAAGACATGGAGTTTTGAAATTGAACTAGAGTTGGGGGGGGGGGGGGGGGGGGGGGGGGAGCAAATGACTGTTTTGGCTTTGCCACAAGGAGAATTTTTCTTTTTTAGAAATGTAAATGAAGATTAAGTTAGCTATGAAGAGTTGCAGCAGAAGTTTAACATTTATATTCATTAGGCAGAGAAGTGATCTGCTGCCCGTGTAGTAGGGATATACGTGCTTGTGATGTTTCATTATCACATTTACCATATGTTTCATTATTCACTGCTATTCTTTTGCATGAAGACAGACAGTAAAAACCAGTAAATTAGTTATAACGGTGATAACCTGTCTTATGTTACGGGTAAAAATAGCTTCCTGTTCGGGTTTTCACTCACCCTATTTCACCCCATTGTTTCTGTTCCTACTGTTTCCCAGCACTTTGATCACTTGCATCTGCCTTTGCAGGAAGGAGAGGGGGGGAGCGATATTATGACAACTCCCTTAGTGGAAACATTCCTTAGAGCCGCTGCTCGAGCTCATAAGACACTGTCTTAATTTCCAAGCTTTACAGCCTCTCCTTTCTTCCGTGAACTTTCTGTATTCCCTAAAGCATCCGAAAAATATTGGGTTTTTCTTTCTTCTTAACTGCTGGTTACAAAACTGACAGGAGATAAGATTGGTGATAGGACAACAAAACGACACTTCAAAATAAGCACACAGTCTTAGAATCTGAAGTGTGTTTTCACGTGTTTCACTCTGTTAGAGCAATTTAGCTCAGAGCAAGACTGTCTTTAAATCTCTATCAGAATTGAGCGGCATCAGTAGTAATTCAAAACGTGCTTCACATGAAAGCTTTCACTTCCTAGCTCTGCCTCTTTTTTTTTTTTTTTTTTTTATGAGCACCCTTTTATTTATGATTATCGAGAATCAAAATTTAAGAGTAATTTTCTCTAGGCTCCCTTTTCCCATCAGCTAGCCTGGTGGTACAAGCTCAGCAGCCCCAGGTATTAGCAAATTTCCTTCTTCTGGAGAGAAGTGCTCTGATCCTCTCCAGAGAGCTGCAACATAACCTCATATCACAGAGCACAGCATAAAGCACAACTAGAGTCGCTCCTTCTGACCTCCTTGCTCATCAGCCCATATCTGGATAATGGGAATTCTTGTAGGATCCTTTTTGGGCTCAGGTAACCCCAATTCCAAGGTTCCCTGAGTCACTGTTGCAAGTTCCAATGCATTCAAAACACCAGAAGGAAACAAACCTTTTCCTTAAGTCATTCATTATCCTGGTCTCTGAACATATACATTATGCTATTTCAGTGTTATTGATACAGGGAAACATAATAATTTCTTTATCTTCCTGCAATTATGCAAGAAAATGCAAGAAATGAATTGGACTTGATTTTTCTGTTCAGGAATGCAGAAAGCTATATCACAATGCATTTTTGTATCAGTTGATAATTTTATGAATTATTATTTTATGTGCTTTGTGGGAAAAAACCACTTCCCTAACAGAAATGTTCTTGTTAGTGTCAAAAATGTATAGTGGGCTTAGGCAATTAGAAAATTCAGCTATGGGATATTAATGACTAAGTATCTATCTCTATGAAATCTTGAAAACTTTGTAAGAAAACAGTATTGGCACAATCTGCATCTGTAGAGTTTTCTTGGATATTTTATTGAGCCTTTTGCTGCAAGACAGAGTCTGGGTTAAACCAGCCTCAGACCTGCTCTGCTCATCAGACTAAAAGTCTTAGTTCTCCTCACATGTATCCAGTTCTCCCAGTGTTTCAGACCCATTTTTACATCTATATTTCCAAATGCTCTACATTTAGGTATATCCTTCTTCAATGTATGTTCTAAGGATTTAAGGCTTAGTGCAGGATAATAGATAAAAGGTCTCTCCTCTTGGTATTGTAGTTTTTGCTTGTTGTCCAAGTATCTAGTACCTTTGCATATATTGTAACATTTTTTGCATGCCTGGAATTTCATTTTATTAACTGTATTGTGGGTATTTTTAAAACGTATGCTTCTTATGTAAGTAGCCAATCTTATCTAATTCCAGCCAGTACACCTAGAAGTATTTTTAAAGTGTGGTATACCATAAAGTAGAAGTTCCTGAATAATATTTTGTTTCAGTATATTAGTGCTACTTGCTTAACACGCTGTATTAATACAGAGCCCACAGTTCAGGTGATAACAAGAGGAAAAGAGGAATATTCCTTTATTTCTCTTACCAGCTTTACACCATGCAGAAACAACCTCAGAAGCCCTAGTGTGCCCCAGCACAAGCCTTAACACACACAAATCTTCGCTAACTTTCTTTCACCCTCATCCCAATCTGGGACTCCCATTTGCACCCCTTGCTTTGTGGTTGAAGTAACATGTTGCTGTGGATACCCATCTGACTCTGAGAGACACTTTCAGCTAATAGTGACGTTCACAAAGAGCGCTGTGTTGCACCCTCCTCATTTTTAAGTAGCATAATCTTAATGCTAAGGTGATTTCTGTTGTGGAGTTTCCATCAGATTAATCTTTATTTCTCTTTTTCTTTTTTTTTTTTCTTTTTTTTTTTTTTTTAATTTTCCCTTTCTTTTTGAGTTTTTTTTTTTTTTTTTTTTTTTTTTTTTTGGTTATTTTTTTTTTTAAAAAAAAAATAGAAAATTTTTTTTTTTTTTTTTTCTTTTTTTTTTTTGTTTAATTGTTTCCATAGCTGTAACTTACACAAGTTACAAAAAAACACCGCCACCGGTACCCCCTCGTACCACTTCCAAGCCACTGATCTCAGTCACGGCACAGAGCAGCACAGAATCCACCCAAGACGCATATCACGACAGCCGGACTCAGAGGATTTCCCCGTGGCCGCAGGACGGGCGAGGGATGTACAACTCCACCGACAGTTTGGACAGTAACAAGGCCATGAATCTCGCCTTGGAAACTGCAGCTGCGCAGCGCCACGCGTCCGACAGCCAGAGCACCTCGATACGAACCAGTGACAAGGCCATTTTAGTCTCAAAAGCAGAGGAGTTTCTTAAGAGTCGGCGTTCCTCTATAGGGATCCAGGTAGCCTATCATTAACATCTGTCTGTGATGAATTGCTTGCCTTCTTTCTGTAAATAGCATAGAATGAGTCATTCAGCTTCACTGGCTCTAATAATCTAACAAACAACCCCTGGCTGCTTAGCGTTAATTGTAATTCACATCATGGCAACGTGGCTGTGCAGAAAAGTCCTCAGCTAATATGCTGTACCTGGAAGAAAATGAATGAATAAATCTCTAGGGAGGTTACCTGTCATTAACACTTGATATGAAAATTATACTGCAGAGCTACAGGTGAACAGCATGTTCATCTCCTTCCCTTCATGAATTCACAGTCCTTTTTATAGAATTACACCAGCTTTAAAATGCTCAACTATTTTTTCCATTATCTTTCCCTTTTGACCTTGGAAAATGCGTAATGCTGCTGGATCTTCAAGTTATTCGACCTAAAAAGAGCCCCTCCGCCCTTACTTTTAGTAAGGTGCTGAGAAGAAGGTACCAAGGAAAAGAAAGAAATGTGGTGGTGTAGGTACAGCATAATTACGGGTGGTGGGTAATGAAATAACATTAGTGAACACGGTCTTTGAGCATTCCTCTGTTTTTCCATCAGAAAGCACAATATTTATTTTGCGTGACAAGATGTGTGTCAGACTGTGGAAAGCACGGTCATGTTGTGTTTTTTCAGGCAAATTAAATAAGATGATTCCAAGTGCAAATTTTGATTGCTCTTCCTTCGTCTAAATGCAAAGCACTAGATAGGTAGCAATGGTCACTTGTTTAAATCTCTAGGAAACACCAAGCAGTAATAAAAATCAGAAAGCTGAACTTGCGACAAATGCAAAGTCCTTTGAGACACAGGAGCAGAGGAAAATTTAGGCTTCCCTTCTGCTGAACATTTAATTTCAAGTATGTGAATATCCCCTCTTACATCACTGAGTTCACTTCTGTGCTTAAAAATCACTGCTTTTGCCAGATGAACTATTGGGGAAATGCTGTGTACTTTGGCATAGTTACCAGTATTGTGGAGACAGCAACATAGATCTTGAGAATGTAATAGTCTGTGTAACAAAGCCCAGTGAGTGACTGTTCATCTACTAGGAAGTCTATTATTTTCTCTAAAAGGTAGTAATTCCATTTCCATTAATTTCAAAATACAATCAGAGAAAAGTATTTGGGTTAAGCATGTCATAGCTACTGATTGAACGTTACTGTTTAACGTCTTGGTGTGGTGTAATTTTGCTGTTCCACATCATATTAGACTAATAGGAAGGCAAAGGCCTGGCCAGCAAGCTGCTTGTCCATTTCTTGGCATAAAAGTGCTCACTTCTGCTTCTTTAGATGCAGAAGACTAGAATGCAATTTAACAGCAAGGGTAAAATATTCAGATGGCTACTTTTCAAATGTTTTACAAAGTAATTAGTGTATCCTAAATTGTTCAGAGAAGAGGCTTAGCAGATAACAGTGAAAAGCTCAAAGGAGCAGCGAGTAATTCTTGGTACCTTTTAGCCCCTAACCTGAAACTTACTCTTCAGAAAGGAATAGTATCTGCTGTTGTTCTTATCTCTTCTTTACAGCAGCTGTGCACAGTGGTGTTTATCGATGTTGGTGTCTTGCTTCAGTCAGTCCTGGTATTTCAGCAATTAATGCTGAAACTTTGATTACATCACTTGATCCTGTTTCTGGCTGCAGGTGATGGCCAGTTCTTTTCACTGGGCTCTGACCCTTCTTGGTATGTGGTGTGTTTAATAACATGTGTTTATAATCCACAAAATCCACAAAAACGTCTGTGCAATGATTTCCGTGGAGGCAGCGGATCTTCTGTAGCAGCTTGTCATCTGACGCTTGGCCCATAATACTGGTGCTCAGGTGCACACACTGGAGAAGGCAGATATTGTTTGCAACAGCAGGTTTTAGAAGGATGAGCTGCTTGTTATCTTTGGAGAAGTACAAACTGCTTGGTTGTACCATTGGGCATTAGATAAGGTTAAAATTGCAAAATTGCTCTCATCGCGGGTATCCTGCGAGCACATTTGAGTTGTTTGGGGTTTTTTCTGCAGGAAGTTTCAAACTTTGCATTAGCGTGAAAAATACCTTTCTGCAACATTACTAAGCAGAAAATGCATTTTGTTGTATTTCTGTCACTAGGTTTGTAAGGAATAAAAACACAGGGTAGAATATTCTTATTGCAAACCACATAAATAGTAATTTATGCCCCCAAAATGCAGTTGAAGTATTTAATGTATTTCAGACTTCTGCATCAAAGCACCTTAGAAAAGGATATTTTTTATTTGCATTTTTCCTTGATTGACTAAATGACTTGTTTTCTCATTAGCATGCCATGCCAGGGTAATGCATTGAATTTGCATTTATTTGCATTAATTTGCTATCAGGATGGTTAATTTGTGCATTTTTTTAATGTTTCATACCTTTAACACGTTGGTGTGAGAGGCCTTGCCAGCAGAGCTTCATACAGGAGCACAAAGATAAAAGAATGACCTTTGGGTGTGAAACCAGTATGGACCCAGCCTAGGGCTCCCACATCTTTGGCACATATGATTTGTGCAGTGTACATGTAGTCAAAAGGAATCCTTTTAAAAGAAGTCCAGGCATACTGGGCATGTGCCCATAGGCTTGGTATTCACATGCCCAGGGAGCCCAAGCTCCTAGGGGAGCACTGGGCTTACTATGCAGATCAGTGGCACTCACTCTGCAGGAAGAGAGAACGGCACAGATACGGAAACCCACATCACGGTGTGTTAGCCCTATCCCAGATGGGAATTTTGAACAAAAAAAAAAAACTTCAGAAGCAAAGCTTTTCCAGAAAATAAGGGTTAGGTTGTGCAGGTTTTATTTTTTTTCACTGCCACGTTTAAATCAAGAGGAATATTGTTGGATGTGTCAGTAGGCACTGGAAAAAAATGTTGATTTCTAAATTCAAATGAATTGCAAGTACTGATTCTGGGATTAAAAATTTAGTCAGCAGTGTTAAGAATATATATGGAAAAAAAACCAAGTCTAGCAATACTAGTACCTATAGTCTTCGTATCTGTCTTCTCCCATGACAGCAGAAGACTAATCAAAGCATTTGAATTAAAATGGAGGGTAGAGAATGTTTAGAGTAAAATCACCACTGAGTCAAGAACAAGGTTATTGCTAATACATTTTCAGGGATTTTCCTTGCACTTTTGCACACACTTTTATATATGCTAATGATTAACATTCAAAACCTGCTCTAGTTACAAGCCGTTTCATATTAAAACCATTTAGATTGTAAAATATCTGAGAAAAAATGTCAAGAATTTGCTCCTTATTTATTTCAAGTATTTCAAAACATGCAGTCCTTGGTTTCTTCTCTATTTAAAAGGCATTAAGGCTTCTTAAAATGAACAGAAACCCTGGAAGCAGATGAGATGGAAAGAAATGTTGTAAGAGTGGAGGCTGATTCGTGATGGTGGTTTTGGAGAGAAGCACTAATTGCAGCGTAGAGAATGGCCTTTGTCATCTTCATTTATCATCAGGATATCATGCTTCAAAATATCTGGTGTTTCTTCGTTGAACAAATCATTCAAAAAGCTGTACTCAGGAGGATCAGTGCAATAACTCACTTGCCTAATTTTTTTTGTCAAAAGGGGATTTTCTACATAGTATTTATAAATATATTTAATGAAAGTATTAACATCATGTGGTAAAAACTGTGTTCAAGAAACTCTAGAGTCTTAAACTGGAATTTCCCTTTAAGGCAGGGCATTTTGTACCCATATGATGTACTCGCTTGGATGAGTATCTACATTTTCTTGGTACTGTTTGGGTTATAACACCCTTGTCAGTGCTCTACTTCAGTGTACACATAGCAATCAAAAAAATATCCACATTAACTACAGGAAATGGACCCATGTTGTGCCAGGGAAGGTTTTGATTGGCGATTAGGAACAATTTCTTCACCACAAGGGCTGTCAAGCATTGGAACGAGCTGTCCAGGGCAGTTGCGTCACCACCCCTGGAGGTATTTAAAAGACGTGTAGATGTAGGGACGTGGTTTAGCGGTGGACTTGGCAGTGCTAGCTTCATGGTTGGACTTGATAATCTTAAAGGTCTCTTCCAACCGAAACGATGCTATGATTCTATGATTCTAAGCCAGTGAAATTTTTGGTAACACCTTTGTGGGTACAGAGGCTGTAACCTGCCCTTTAGCGGTAACGTTGACCTATATACATATACATGCATATATATATATATATATATATATATGTATATATATATATGAGTCAGAATATACCAGCTTAGCCAATCTGCAGAGTTCCCAGTCCCTGATTGTATTTTGGCCTCTTCATTTCTCAAAAAGTTTAGCAGCTGGAATTGTAGTTAAAACAAAGCTATGGTTCTTTTAAAGCCATCTAATTTTTTACTCTTTTCACAAATTACTGTTGCTCATTTTCTTAACTGCTGTCTAACATAATGAAACGTTCAGAGTGGAGAAGACACAGATTTGCTGCCTTGCAGAATGTTTGTCGGTTCAGAACAATTTGCCCCTTAGCATTAAATGCACCAAAAAAGTTGTGAGCAGCCACTGCTGTGTGCATTATTTTGTTGTTGCTACCTCATATTAGCTTGACACAAATCCTGGCATGCATTTTTAGCAAAAAGTACTTTCTTAAAAGACCAGTGGAAGTTTTCAACCCATTGTAGGATATTCTTGTGGTAATTAGCAGTTACTGTGCTATGCAATGTGTTTGAGTAGTCCAGATGTTCTGCTGGGAAGTAGTGGAGTAGCAAAATGGAGCCCTGTGGTGAGGCACAAAAAATCACTCAAGCATGAAAGTGTAGGCTTATTTTGCTGTGTTTCTAAAAATTATTTTGAAAGAGTATATGGTTTTTGGCTGATAAAAGTATTCCATCAGTTAAGGAAAGCGGTAGCAGTTAGTACTGTAGGTTTTTTTGAAGTATTTTTCCTACTTTGAAGTCACTGCATACAAATGAGATCTCCCTGTACCTAAGAATGGTTATCTGCATTCACAATTACATGT